GGTTGGTTGACAAGGTTTTGTATTGAAAATTTAAAGAAAAGGATTAGTTCTTAGATTTAAAATTGGAGATACACTGAAGAGTCTCTTCCAGAAAGTCTGAGAGGCAGGACACTGGCTGTGATCTTCAAACATGTGGTCAAAATTCTAGAGTCTGACAAGAATGTTTAGTGGTTGTCCTTCCTGAAGTTTGTGTGGTGCTTCTGCCTCCATCATTGGACACTAACTTTGACCTCTATTGTATGGTTAGTTTGAAATTCAGTTTCTATTCAAGATGGGTCAGGACAAGTCAGGGCCATGAGAGAGTTCCATTGTGTTCTTAAACAACGAAGAATACTCCAATATCCCAGAGATTAGAAGGGAAAAGGCAGATTTCTTGGATAGCATGTAATGCGCTTTGATCTTATTCAAACCCATATCTAGAAGTTTCTAGAGTCATTTGAAACTCTGGGGCAAGCACATTCTGGTGGTGTCCTTCACAAAGCGAAGTCCTTTACCTTTGTGTGTGACCTTTTATGACATCCAGAACAGACAAGCAGAGGTTTTCAATGTCAAGTCTGTTTTCCCTGGTGACTGTCTTTGACCTAATGTCTTCTTGGGTGTATTTGCTCTTCAAGACGCCGGATCCCTCCCTCCTCATTACCACACTCATTTGTTTCTTCTCCTTTTCTGTTGTTGTTCTTTCCTTGTTTAGACCGTCGTATAGAGAGACACAGTGAGCAGCTTTATTAATAGAGATGTAATTTGCATATCATGATGCCAGCCATCCTTTTGTTCTTATAAGACGGGTTTCTCAGTGCAGCCTTGACTGTCCTGTAGACCAGGCTGGCCTTGAACCTACAGCGATCCTCCTGTCTGTGCCTCTTGAGTGCTGGGATTAGAGGCGTGCACCACTACCAGATGCCAACCCTTTGAAATGAGTACTTGCATGTTTTTTAAGGTGTACTCAGGTGATGGAGAGCACCAGATGGCGCTAGTTGCCATAAAGATCCAGGTTCTAGTTTTGGGTTCATTGTATCCGGTCCCCGACACTTTTCTCAAATTCTTGAGGCCTTCTTCCCCCCCACTCATGAGATGGCTTTCCACTGGGAGGACTGTTTGAAGCCTTAAATGATGCTCTGTGTACCAAGTACATAATATAGTGCCTCCTTCTCTATGGCTTCACTTTTCCAGGTTTTAGTTACCCACCATCAACTACGGCCCAAAATTATGAAATGGGAAATTCTGGGTATGAACAGCTCATGGATTTAAAATTTCATTACAGCACATAGTTATAGTTGAATTTTATGAATTAGGAATTACTAGTTTTCTACTGTGCCAAATTTATGTATGTGAGGACCTAGAGCGTGCATAGGGTTTGGTATCATTAGGGGTTTTGGGCATCCCCTGAGAGGTTTAGAATGTATTCCGTAGGATAAAGGAAGAACCAGCCTAGAGACACGGCAGTTAATCTCCTCTTCTGCCTTGGTGTACCCAAACCCTTTAGCCATTCACCACACTGAAGGGTTCGAGAGGGTTCTGAGTTGTGGTCTTCTTCATTCATTTCTCCTTTCCCAGGAACGCAGAAAAAGATCTTACGGGCCAAAGGGGTGTACCCTGCCCGATAGATTTTTTTTTCACGTAGACTTTAATGACGACTTTCCCTTCTTTTCTTATTGTCTCTGGTCATCAGTAGGCTCTTACCCTAGAATAGCTCTTTCTGGAAGGCTCTCACTTCTGCCTTTGTTTATTTTTACCAATCATAGAACACTGATGTTGCAACAAACTCCAGGATAATCCAGTTGAACATTTCCTTTACCTGTTGGAGAGACTAAGGCCCAGAGAAGGGAGCTAGTTTGGGCACATGGTCAATCAAGGCTAAGTTCACTTTCAGTGCATATTTGTGAAAGTGAAGCAAAGCCTTCTGGGACCTAACACTGTCTCAGTGACCCAGGAATCCTGCTGGAATGCCAGGGTCTGGAGTTCAGCTGTTGACCCCACATCTCCATACCTCTTTATCCCACAGCAAGGCTACCCCTGATCTTGTTTGGGTCTTGCTTGTGAAGAATGCAGCCAGAAGACAGGCAAACTGCAGCATGCTGAGTGGTTATAATATTCACGTAGTCACTCTTGCTTGGAAAAAGTGGAAATCACTCCCGTGCTAAGGAGAATCGGCACATTTGGTCTGAATCTTGGAATTCTTTGGGGTTTTCTGTTTCTAAAGAGAGAGAGCTGACATTGTCCAGGCTCCTCTGGTTTCGGAGGAATCGAGACCCAAGGGATTCTGAGAGAATTTGTTCCTTGCAAGTTACTCTGTGGCTAATATATGATATAGATAGTTAAGAGTTTTGAGAAGTTGGGAAAGGTGTGTGTGTGTGTGTGTGTGTGTGTGTGTGAGAGAGAGAGAGAGAGAGAGAGAGAGAGAGAGAGAGAGAAGATACCAGTAAAATATTAAGAGAGATTTGACAATGTCTGTAAGTTCTAGAATTTCTTTTAATTAATTTTTAAATTCACATGTAAAAGCGTCCACCACAGTACTTCTAATGTTATCTGTCCATTTTAGCAGTTCTATATTTAATAATGTAACATCCCTCCATCTTCCCCCTCTCTTCCTGCTCCCCCTCTCCTCTGCTCCTTTCCCCTTTGTGAGCCAAATGCTAAATCCTTGGTATGCAGGGGTCTGCTGTACAGGCTGCACACTCAGCCCTAGGACAAGCGAGAGAATCAAAATTGGGTGTTCTCCATCCGAAGAACTGTTTAGGGTCCTAATTTAAAATGAAAAAAGCCTTTCACCAGGCCGCATGTTTCCCTAAATCAATTGGATTTTATGTAAACATTTATCTCTTTCGCACTTTTCCACCTACCACACGGTTCTCGAAGTAATGGCTCGGTGAACATTAATGCTTTCACCAGATCCCTCTTTTTTTTTTTTTTCTGGAACAGGAGTGGGGGAGGAGAGAGAGAAAGTGCATGCAGGGCATACAGAATGCATTATCTGGAGCCCAGTTGTTGAAAAGCAAAACTTCAGAAAAAATGGAGGCGCCAATGAGAAGACGCACTCAACCTGGCTTTGGCGTGGGGGGGGGGTTTAGATAGAAGTGACTGTGGTAGATGTGGGGGGAGGCAAACACGGTGGGGGGTGGGGACTCTCATTTGGAAAGAGGCTCCCGTGAGCAAGCCAAGTTTGTATTAGATCCTTAGAGCGGTGGAAGGGTTTGCAAGTGGTCGTAGCTGATGAGTGTACAAATATAGCCACAACTCTCCATCCAGAAAGTGGTTGTAGTTGGTGAGTGTACAAATATAGACACATCTCTCCATCCAGAAAGAAAACGCTGGCTTCTGTTCGGTCCCGACTGCAACAAAAGCTGTCCTCTTTCTCAGCCCACCCAAGTTAGCACAGGCAGACATTCCCTGCACTTTTGAAAGCTGGGGCAGGTTATGAGTGTGCCATACTGTGCATGGTGCTTGCACACAGATTGCTTTGGCCTGGTCCTTTTGGAGAATTTTGATCAAGATCCCCCCCACCCACCCATACCTCCATGGCACCAAAAGCCTGACCTCCCACATACCCCCGTACAAGATGGCCCCAGAGACAAACCCAAACCAGATGCTAAATAATGGGAAAATATTTAGCTGCCGTTTCCAAATTTGCACCCAACCTTATTCATAGATAGGGCTGGAGAGGCCGCTGCCAAATGTTTTTCAGCAAACAAAGATTAAGAGTCTCAGAAACAAGACAGACCAATTCTTCCCCTCTGTCCATTACTGCTTCCCGGCATCTTCTCATTGGTTTATTTTTTTAGTGAAACATACAGTTAATTGGAGTGCTTTCAAATTCTTTTGTGTGGTTGTTGTTTAAAAACAAAACAAAATTAAAAAAAAAAACCCAAAACAAGCAGAAGGTCATGTCGAGATCATCTCACCAACCAGGGCTTTTAAAATAGAATTTTCCTAAGACTGGTTGATTTCTACTTATTTTTGTTGGTAAATCCTGGGGAAAATGTATATCTTCTCCTTTAAAGTTCTAATTCAAGGCGTAGATGCGAGAGTTCTGAAGGGACCTTGGGACTGCGGTAAAATTTCGTTGTCATAGTAACAGAAAGGGAAATAGGCCTAGCTCACCTGGGACTTCAGCACTGCAAAAGCTGGATATATTTTTTTTTTTTTTTAAGGAAAAGGACTCTGCAAGTGAAATAAATGAAAAACTTACTGTATTTTGAAACAAAATTTTAAATAAGAAGGGGGGGAAGAATTGCTGCAAAGGCGCCTTCTGTCATTTTCCTCGGCTGGCGAGACTATTGGATTTGAGATGCCCAGTTTTGAAAGGACACAGATAATTTAAGGGGATATGGGCTTCAAAAAAAGAAAAATCATGTCTTACAAACAATAACCACAGATCATGATTTGTGTTTCTCTGGATTGTCTCGAGAGGGACCGAGAGGTCCCTCCTATTTGCTATTAATCATAAATGCCTGGGGTATCCTTGCCCGGCAGACTTGAGCACTAGATAATTATATACTGTTTTATGATTTTTGCACATGTTGTGGGAAGCTCTGAGGCCACCTTCAGATGTGAGCATGAAGGTATTGTGTGGCCAGTGGAAGGCAGGGACCCCGGGAGTCCTGGGTTCTGGGCTGTGCCCTGTCCTTTCTAACCCGGGAGCAATACTTTCTGGACAGTAGGGGTCACTGCTGCATTCGGAGCCCTCTTTGGCAGACGGAAGGCTGTGCAGATTTCAGGCGGGTGGGTGTGCAGACTGGAGCCCAGATTGTGAACCGCTTAACAATCCCCTACCGTGATGGAGAGGGGGCTCTGAGCTCGCCATTGAAAACATCCAAATTTGCAAATTGCAGAGGGTCAGCAGTGTTCCCCTCCCAGGCGCGGCTGCTTGAAATTCCCCAGACCTGAAACACAATCGCCTATTTTTTTTTTCTCAAATCAAATCTAATAGAACACAGATAGTGTCTCTCGTTAAAATATGTTTACTGGGGAAAAAAAAGTAACACATTGCTTTCTCTTCACAGGTTCTTTTTAAAATTTTTCCTGAAGTGCAATCAGAATTGTTTGAAAACAGCAGGAAACCCAAGGGACATGAGACGGTTCCAGGTAAGGGGCCCCGAGGATCACACCTATTAAATAAGTCACCCTGGTTTTTCTCTCCGGCTCCCACTCTTCTTGCTCAAATCCATCCCACACTGTTAGCGCCCGCCATACAAAAGAGCATTGATGATAACCTCCCTCTACCAGGACGGAGGCCTTTTTCATTTTGTAGATTTTGTAGTGTTTAGGTTCTCTCTCTCTCTCTCTCTCTCTCTCTCTCTCTCTCTCTCTCTCTCTCTCTCTCTCTCTCCTGGCACTGCCTCAAGGGAGAGGCACCAGCCAGGGATGGAGATTTGCTTCTCAGCCCTCAGGCCACCCCTTGCACTCACAGCTGCCCACAGCAGGGGCCATGTTCTTGGTACTCAGCCACCTTGGGAGTTTTCAAAGTGCTTCTCTGTGTGTTTTCTGCAAGCCACAGCCTTGCTACCTCCCCTCCTCCCCCAAGCCGGCCTGGTCTTTCTTTTCCACCAGTTAAGTATTCTGTGGTCTCTTAGCCTTTTGGAAGGTAGTGATCCAAGCAGCCATGGTCACTTTAAGACCGTAACATGACAACAAGACCCAGGGGACAGTGACCCAGCTGCCTGACGGTGAAATCTGCCACCGATTTCATCACCCCTGCCATTGATGTGCTGTGGAGACAGCTAATAAACAGAGCTAGGGTGAAGGGTTGGGTTGGAGTTGGGAGTGAGTACAACTGCTAGGTTCCCTTCCTGAGGATCGGAAGGACTGCCCTTAGCTCAACAAATATTCTTCTGCCATCCGTGCCTGACCAGAGTATCTGGAACTCTGTTCCCCATAGCGAATGAAAAATGTGTTAACCCATGGCATTGAAGCGCAAGACTCAATAAGGTGGAAAAATGGCTAACTTCATTTCTCAAGTGAGGGAAGGTTCTAGAAGATGAGGCAACTTGACCTTGCTCTTAGAAAGATGTCAGAACCGGGAGGATTGGTCACAGACCTCCTAGTCATGGGTGTCCAAGTGTCCAAGCTGCTGAGTTTGTGTTTTGCGGTGGCCTTGGGATGGGCAATCATTTTCTTCTGTACTAGACCCCAGGAGTCATGTGTCTGTTCCTGTCTGTCTGTTGGAGAATGTCTATGGTGAAGCCAAATGTCAAAAGGATGCTTAGGGACAGAACCAATGAAGAACTAACAGGGGTCTGGGGTGTAGCTCACGGATAGAATGCTTGCCTGCCTCGGGGAGCTCTGGGTTCAACCCTCAGTACTGAAAAGAGAAGAAAACAAACAAGAGGAAAAGGAAGGGAGGGAGGGAGGAGAGAAAGAAAAGGAAAGAAAACAGAAGACAGAAAGGATTGGTAGGCATGATGGACATTCACAAGGCCAGTGCAAACTGCTTTGAAAAACAGCCTTGCATTGACAGTCTTCCAAACCACAACAGGGTTATCCAGTGTTCTTGCTACGACCAACACCTTCTTGGTTGTAATTATAGCATTTAAGGCTCTTATCAGGCTCCCTTTAAGTAGGTGGGGCTCTCCACTTCTTCACTCAGGATCGTCTGCTCGTTCATAAGAAGACAAATAGAAACGCAGTCAGCCTTCTTGGGAATCTGCAGGAAGGTCCCACACAACGGAAATTTACTTACCCAGGGATCCAAATATTAATACATATATTAATAATATATATATTGCTAAATAAGAGGAAATATTACCAGGATCTCAAATTGCCACTCGGAGCAAATGTTTGCTTCGTTTCTGGAAGAAACACAGCCTAGGGGAAAGAAGCAGGCAGCTTGGCTTGGGGTATTTTACTCTACTGTACTTGGCACGTTTTTAATTTCAGGGGCCTCTAAGAAATGTGATGAATGTCCACTGGAGCACCCTAACTTTTCACTCGCCCCAATTTTAGAAATATATTCACGAGGCAAACTCATACCAGCATTGCTTTTTGCTTCAGGTCTCTGATAAGTGAGGGTTACTTTGTCCTGTGCTTAGCTGGCCTCGAGTTGATATTGCTGACATCAGAGTCACCAAGAAGCCTCAGCCCATGTGAGAGCGTAGATCAGCTTCTCCGTAGACAAGCAGCCTACAAAAAAAAAAAAAAAAAGCTTATGATTTCTGGATCCCGCTCTTTCCAGGGCCAACCTAACATTCCTTGTCGATTTCCTTCACGTTTTTAATTTAAGTCGGGGTGAAGTTCGTGTACCTTGCACATCTCCATCTTAAGTACTTTAAAGCACGCAAGCCAGTGGTTTTAACACGTGGCAGTGTTGCGATCGCCATGTGATTATCAGTGACTGCCATGATTGATTCCAGAACATTCTCGTCACTTCGCAAATTACCTCATGCTTCCTAATTCCCATTTCCTCTCAGTTACCTGCAACTTCTCGTCTATGTTTTGCCTTTATGGTATGGGTTTGTCCTGGAAATTTCATGTGAATCAAGACTCTGAATATTTCAGTGGTCAATTACAAAGCATAGTGTTTTCAAGGTCTGCAAGGTAGCAATGCCTCCTTCTTTTTGATAGCTCAATACTATTCCACTGTCCGTGTGACTAGCATTTTGCTTACCCATTATTTAGTTAACTGACATTTGTGTTTTATGCCTTTAATGTTTCTGTGATATTGAGTTGTTTTCGGAACATATGTCTTCAGCTCTCTTGGGGACAGAGTTAGGAGTAGCATTTCTGGATCACAGGGTAACTCTATCTTTAACTTGTTGAGAAACTGCCAAATTCTTTTTCACAGTGGCTGCACCAGTTTGGATTCCTACCAGTCATGTGTGAAGACACCAGTTTCTCTAATTCCTCATGGTTTTACTTCTTTTTAAAAGATTTTTTTTTTTTTTTTACTTATAATTGTATGTGTACGAATGTTAAGCGGAGCGCTTGCCGAGGCCAGAAGAGGTTGTTGGATCCTCTGGAGCAGGAGCAACCGGCAGTTGGGAGCCACCCAGCATGGGCACTGGGAACTCAGCTTGGTCCCTGGCATCTGTCCAGACCCCTGGTTTATTTGTAAGATGACTCAGCACTGGGGTGGTGTCTCCTTGCTGTTTCAATCTGTCAGTCCCTCATGACAGAAGAAGGTGATGGCCAACACCTTTCCGCGTAACCACCTGCTTGGTGGCGAAGACAAAACTTAGAATTTCCAGGCATCCCCAACGAAAGGAAGACCACCAAAGTCCAGTGTAAGCTAAGCCAGAATGAGCCCTATTTCTTATTTCTCTGCTGTGGATAGACAATAGGCAGTTATTAACCCCAGAGGAAAGTCAAGCTGGGAAAAGGAAGTCAGGCGCATTGCTGTTTCCCACACTCGCATTCTAAAACAAGGTTCAAAGCTGATAACAATTTTGGGCTCCTTGCTGCTAAGTCTCCATCACTGTAGAAGGGCTGTATCTGTTCCAGGTCATAGTGAAACCTATGTGCCCTCGTTAAATTAGTTATTCATCCACAAATATCACAGAGAATAGTCTGTGTGCTCCTAACAGTCCCAGGCAGGTGCGGGAGTCCTTGCACAGGCAATTCAAATACAGGCCATCTCCGCTTTCGCTGTGCTACAGGCAGTAGAGTGAATGAGTGGTTTCCAAAGCCTGGGTCTGCTTCTCTGTGGTCTTACAGGGAAGGGGCCCTGCATGCTGTAGTTGTCTTGGTGGTGTCTGTTGGAGCTCAGCTGTCTGGTCAGTGACTGCGACAATAGTAAGGCTGTTCGTCAGTTTGCAGAGCTTACCTACAATAACTGCAGATCCGTCACTCAAGATTGGGTACCCATTACTATAGAGGGTTGGAGTGTGTTCCATCCTAGGGGCAACACCAGCTTCTCCATTAAGCTCTTCTGGTGTTGGTCTCTTTGATATGTGTCTTACCTTCAAATCAAAGTGTAGGGTGAGCTCGTAGTAGGGTGAATAATAGCATAAAGAGAGAGATTCCAGGTGTATTAAAATTATCTCCCAGTTTAGTCCCCTTAAGTTCCACAGAATGATTTGTTTTTAGTTCCAGTGGACTTTTAATGAGATAAATGAACTGTAATGACAAAAATCAATATTTTACCCAGTGTGTGTGTTTCTGAACTTTGTAAGCTCAGCAAAGACTCTGGTCCATGTCCATTTTAATTTGTATCTTCTTTTTCTTATGTAGAACACAATGTTTTAGTTAAGTTTGTCTTGTCAATATAATCACCTATCCTGGGGCTGACAGGCATCCTGTAATCTTTTATATTATGTTTACACTTCAGACACTTCATACGTTATATTTTGATCTACATTTTAGCATTTCATTACACATTAATTTGCATCATTATGTTAGGCAGAGAGCTATTCAGAAGCCATATCCTCCCTGACGTTAAGAGATAAGATGTAGCCACATGGTAGTGGCGCAAACCTTTAATCCCAGCTTTCAGGAGGCAGAGGCAGGTGGATCTTTGTAAGTTCGAGGACAGCCTGGTCTACACAGCAGAAATCCTGTCTCGAAAAGAAAAAGAAAAAGAAAACATGGGGCAGGGGGCAGATGGATTGGAAGGTAAGATGTAACTTATGGTGTAACACCTAAGTTTCTAGTATAAGAAAAGTTCTTTACGGGCTTGGGGGGGAAAGATGTAGGAGCCGAGCTGGTTCTTGGATTGCATCTACTCATACAAAGTGAGGTGCAGATCTTGAGGGTGTTTACAGGGGTTTTGGGGGGGAGGGGTCGATGCTTTGGGAGAGCTTGCCTAGAGCAGGCCTGTCAGACTTTGAAGTGAGAAATAGACGGTGCTGGGGAGAGCGGAACCTCAGACAGACAGATCCGTCCGTGTAAGGACTAACTGACAGCCATGGCGTAGCCGGATAATGCGATGGTCCCCCTGTTCCTATTGCAGCGTGCCTCCACCACGTAAGAATGATGGAGAAATTAGCGTCTCTGACAAACACACCTCGTCTACACAGCTGGGTGTTCACCATTAGTCCGTTTGACTGAACGGAGCAGGAGCAAAGGCCATGGCTACTCATGTCTTGGAGCAGGGCCAACAGCTCTCCAACAACCCCTTATGATTTTTTTTTTAACCCCTGGCTCTTATATAA